TCATACTGAAATCAGGGCTCAGGGGTCTCAATGTCTTGCCCATAAGCTCCCCTCCAGGATCTCTGGGATGCCCTTGGGACGAAGGAGATGCTGTTGGATCTCCCTTCACCTTTGGTTGAGTAAGCCCAGCTCCCAGCCCATGTTGCCCTTCTCCTCGTCCTGAGGGCCTCAGACTGGACTTGTATCCAGATGTGGCCTTAGCAGATGGAGAGGGGGTTGATCCCTTCCTTTGGGCTGTGCACGTGCTCATACAGCTGCAGACAGAGCCAGTCCCCACAGCTGTGAGCAGGGAGCTGGCAGCTGGCTGGCCCCTTGTCCCCATGGCCTCTCCTGGCATGCAGAGCTGCTCCTCGTTCCCTTTACCCAGGATAACACTTCTCCCCTTGCAGGGAGGCTGAGAAGACCAAGCTGCTGATTGCAGCCCAGAGGCAGAAGGTGGTGGAGAAGGAGGCAGAGACAGACCGGAAGAAAGCGCTCATTGGTAATGTCACCAGCACAGGCTGAGCCTCCATTCCTGCCTTCCCTGCTAAGCTGGGGCAGGACATTTCCATCACTGACAGCTCCCCGAGGGAGGAGGCACAGCCAGGCTGCACAAGCAGTTGTTTTGAATATCTGAGTGAAAATCCCAAAGCAGCAGAGCAGGGAGCACCTCTGTCCTGCAGCAGGGACAGAGGAAATCACTCTGCTGGAAAGACTGCTTGAGCTTGAAGCTCCATGTCCCTGTGCCAGAGGGATCATGCTTGTAAATGGGATGTCAGCTCTGCAGACATCAGCACTGTGTTTTCTTCCTGTAACTCTGCTGCTCAGAGTACAGACTGGCACTGAGAGGGAAGGGAGGGAGCAGGGAACCAGCTCCTGCTGTGGCAGACCCTGCAGCCAGCTGCTGGGCTCGGGGTGCTGGTCTCAAGCCCTGAGAAGCAAATTTCCCAGCTGAGCCTGTTGTGATTGCAGAGGCAGAGAAGGCTGCACAGGTGGCCAGGATTCACTACCAACAGAAGATCATGGAGAAGGAAACGGAGAAGCGAATTTCTGAGATTGAAGGTAACCACCCCGCTGGGGCCATTTGCTGGCTGGGGCTGGTGGCAGGTGGAGGAACCTCAGGCCTGCTAAAGTCATTGAGGGTGCTGCAGGGTGCTGTGCCCTGGGATTGTTCCTGCCCTGTGCATGGAGCTCTCCAGGAAGCTGCAGGACAGGAACAGGGCCAGCCAGGCTGTCACGGGTGTCCATGGGATGAGGGCTCACTGAGCCCCAGTGTGATGGGGCTGTTCACTTCCTAATGCTTTCTTTCCTGTCCCTCCTCTGCTGCTGTGTTAGATGCTGCATTCCTGGCAAGGGAGAAGGCAAAAGCTGATGCAGAGTACTACACTGCCCGGAAGCTGGCTGACTCCAACAAGGTGAGCACTGGGAAGGTGGTCACTCACTCTTCCTCCGCACCGGAGATCAGCTTCAGCTGGGCAGTGCTGGATAAACACTTGATCTAACACAGGAGGTGGCTGCCTGACATGAAACCTAGCGCTGCAGGGCTCAGAAAGTTGTCTCTTAGAGTCTCTGGTTTCTGTTTTTTGCAGCTGAAGCTGACCCCTGAGTATCTGGAGCTGATGAAGTACCAGGCGATAGCTGCCAACAGCAAGCTGTACTTCGGCGACCGCATCCCCGGCGTGTTCCTGGATTCCTGTGCCTTCCAGCAGGCCAACCTGAGGACTGCCCATGAAAGCAGCCTTCCTGCACAGGGAGCCCCAGAGACCTCTGGAGAAAGCCCCCTCAGAGGCGAGGAGAGCACTGGCTGAGGGAGGCAGAAGGGAACCCGGTGTAGCTCAGCAGCGAGCCCGGCTGTGACCGGGGACGAGGCCCTGTGTCGGTGGGGCGGATGCAGCACATGCCTGGACATCTTGTGTATAGGTGGCAGTTGGGTTGATTTTCTTCTAGCAACAGATTGCAAGGGCTCTGCCTCTTCTGTTTCTCCCCCTGTTAAATTGGTGCTTCCAAAGGAGGGATAATCCTGTACTAACATACCTATACTGGAATATTAAACAGCAGACAGCAGGAAAGCCTCCCAGGGTAGGTGCAGTTATTTAGCAGGCACTGCTCTGCAGGAAGATGTGGCTTTGAGTGCTGTGTCACTGCACACTGGTCATTGCTCAGCACTCCTGCCTGAGGCTGAGTGAAGAGGAGGTTCCCCTCGTCCCGCCGCTGAAGCTTGGCTTGGTGAAGGTTTCTGCTGATGCTGTCTCACTCTCCTCAAGGACTCCAGTGGAGTGGACTCTACTTGGCCAGCGTGTTCCTGCTCAGGGCAAGGAGTGGTTTGCTGTGGAATAGGTTATTGGAGTAGGATCTGCACAGCCATAGTATTCCTGTAGACAGCAGTGCTAGATGACAACTCGGAGGAAGCAACCTCTGACGGGATTCTGCAACCCCCCTCTCCAAGCAAGAGCCTCGCACTGGCTGCCTGGGACTGACTGTGGAGCTCCCACTGGGTGAGTGTCATTGCCTCCTGAAGCAGATACCAGGAGCACCTCGGAGCAGCTGGTTGGGAACAGAGTCTGGCAAGTCTTTGCTCAGATTCCAGCCTCCCTGGAAGTCATTCACCAGGGAAAGGGGGCTGAATTTCCACTGCTCTGCCGTGCTGGCAAAGTGAAGAGGAGAGTGAAAGGACCCTGCTGTGCAGCAGATCAGATGTTTGACGCTTCAGCTGCAAAGTGGGTGAGGCATTGCTGCTCTTCCATGCAAAATCCACTGCTCCAGGAAGTGGGGCCTGCTTTGTATGTCCTTGAACAGCCATGGCAAGGAGTGTGTCCCTGGTCCTCTCACCCCTGGCCAGGCTTGCTGGCAGATGGATCTTCAGTCCTGATTTGTGCTGTGATATATCTGACCCTGCTCCTGGTGTGCCGTGGCAGGGTGAGGGAGGGGTGCTCGGGGAGGGGGGAATCTGCTGGGAAAACCTGCTTTCCGTTTTTCCTCCTTGTTCCCTCTGCTTGTGAGGATGTGCTTGCTTTTAGCACCTGCCCCTCGTTGTGTTCTGTGGGGATCCGGGGTGCAGTGCCTGGGGAAGCAGCTGGCAAGAGCTGGAATGCTGTTCTCCAGCTGGGAGCACCCCAGCACTGCCTGCTGCATGTTCAGAGACCTCTCCCTGTGCATCCCTCCTGCTGTCCCATCCCCTCAGAGCAGCTGTGCCACCCTTGGAGGGGCTGGGGGGTGGTGACGCTCCAGGCACTCGACCTGTTGAGATCCTCTGTCCCTGGCTCCATCTGCAGCCTCACAGCAAGGGGAAGGGTGTGTTTAACTTCTGCTATTGAGAAACATTCAACCCAAACCAGCTTTACCTGTGCTAGTGATGTCCCCAGAGGAGGTGTGTGGGTTTTGCAGTGCTGCATCCCCAGCCTGTGTGGCTGGGCTTAAGGGATGGCAGTGTCCCTCCACAGGGAAGTTCAGGAGCACACAGTGCCTCCTGCTGTCCCTGCCCTGCCTGCCTCTCCTCCATCTCTGGGGCAGAGCAGGCTTGTGTTGGCCCTGTCCCTTCTGCAGGGTGTAAAACATAACTGTGGGACTTTGCAGCAGTTTTGGGTGGTCTTTCTTGTCCTCCATCTGCCTGCAAACTCTCAGGGCTCAGTCAATGCTCTGCCCCAGGAACCCAGCCATGGCAGGAGCCAGGGAACAGGGCACCAGGGCAGAGAGGCAGTGGCAGTGTGTTTCTTAATGTTTGAAATGTCTCCTGGAAATGCTCCTTGGCTTGCAGGGTCCCCATTTTTCCTGTGGGATGGGCTTTGAGGAAGGAGTGTAGTCTCATCTCTGCCCTGCCACCTCCTCAGTGTTGCAGCAGGACCTTGGCACAGACACATTCTCCTCACCCCAGCAGCACCTGCTTTGGTCAGATTTTGGGATGAGGGCAGACTTTATAGGCTAGAAGCACGGCTGGAGGGAATGGTGGCAGGGATGTAGACTCTGATTTTCTTTGTGTGTCACTGGGGTTGGACACTCTGGGCATCAGGAACGGCTGGACAGAGCAGGTTCTGCCAGCCTGGAAGTGACAAGGGCACGAGGGGAACTGCTGGGAGCAATAACCAGGCAGTTCACACCTCTCCTGCAGTGATCGGAGCAAGATGTCCACGCAGGGAGCAGGAAAGCCTTCCAGGCCAGTGCAGGAAGAGCTGCTTCCCTTTGGATCCGAGCCTTGCTGTGCCTCCCTGGGTGGGTGCATGACTGCCTTAAGTGGCTGTCGGTGGCTCAGTGTCCCTCTGTATGCGTCAGCCACCTGCCTGTGTGGTGTGAGGGACCCCAGGGGCTGCTCCCGCTGTCCCAGGTCCTGCAGCAGCATGTGTGATGCCCAGTGCCTTCTGCAGCAGCCTCCTCTACCCTCCCCTGCCTCCCCGGCCCCGCTGCAGCAGCCCCGGCGTGTGCAGGAGGGGCTGGCCGCGGCTTTGGCTCCCTGGCTTGGGCTGTGCTGCCCTCTGAGCCCCAGCTGTGGGCAGGGACGTGGCTGCAGCCAGGATTTTGGGATTGAACTGGCTTTTCTCTCCGCTCCCACGGCCTGCGTGGGCCTGTGACTAAAGGGGTCTGCCCCTGGATGCGCATCTCCTTAAGGAAACACGATACATACGGTCAGGTTTACATTCACACTGTTCTTTTGATAAAGCAGAATAAAATTATTTTGTTACCATTTTTTGGGATGGTTTTTGTGTGTCCTAGGGCTGGTGGCACGTGATGCGGAGGACCCCTCTACCTCTCCCCCTAGAGCAGCACTGCATGGTGTGGATGTCCTCAGCCGCAGCGACTGCCACGCTGCGAGCCCCGTGGGGAGCCTGTGCCAGGATGGTGCTGAGCATGAGGGGTGCAGCATCCTGGGGCAGCCTGGCTCTGCCTGGCTGGCAAAACGTGCTGCAGTTCGGCCCCCGTGGCTGCAGCACTGGAGTTCAGCTCCGACCCTTTACCCCCTTCCGTGATCCCCGCACAGCTCCCTGCCTGCTGCCACCCCGCTGTCCCCTCCTGCCCAGACACACCCCATGACACCTCTACCTTCATTCTTTATTAGTATAAAAGCCTTGAACTAAATTATATCAAAAAATGGGAAGCCTGGTTTTACAGCAAGTGGCTCAAAATGGTCACATAAGGGTCATAAATAAATGGCTGCGGTAAAAAGGCTCCCAGGGAATTCCCTTTCGAACAATAACTCAAGGAATAACTCCAGAGATGAAAGCCCCGTGGGGAGGCCAAGCCCAGCTTGGACCTGCCGCAGCCCCTGGTGACATTCCCCCCGTGTGATGTCCCCAGGCCAGGGCTGTGTTCCCGGGGCTCTTCCTGCCCCCTCATGCCAGGAGCTCCTCTCCGCAGCCCCAGCAGGGAAGGGCAGGAGGAGCAGGACACATTCAGGATGTCGGGAGAGAAGGCAGCAGCTCCCAGGGTGCAGGAGAGCCTGGGCCAACGTGGGGCAGCCCTCCAAACCGGAGCTGCCACTGTCCCCGCTGCTGGTCTCCTGCTGACGGCTCCCCCGGGGACAGCCGTGAGGCTGCCGAGTCCATTAAGGCACAACTGGAGGATCTGTAAACACTGGTGCCCACCCCGGGCAGGGTCCGAGGGTCCGGCCAGCAATTCAAGTAAGGGTGGAAGCGAGACGGTGACTGCCCAGCTGTGCCACCCACCCAGCTGTGCCGCTCCTGTGCCGGCCGCCGTGGCGGATGGAGCATCCTTGGTCACCTCCTGCCTGGGGGAGGCTTCAGGGCCACCTTCGGCGGGGGACACCGCTGAAAGGCTGGCGGTGGCAGGGCCGGTCCCTCGCCGCTGCTCGGCACTTTGCCCTTCAGCGCTGGGAGAGGTTTGCTGGGCGGCTTCGGCTTCGCCTGGCGGGAGGAGAGACCCGGGTGCCTCAGCCGGGCCCCCGGGAGGGAGCCGGGGCGGGGCAGCGAGCGGAGGGAGGGAAGGGCTCCCCCAGGCCACCAGCCGGGGCCACCGCACGGATGTGGCCGCACAGCTCGGGCTGGGGTCATCGGGAGCGCTGCTTACCTGCGGGGACCATCCCGGAGGGCTCCCCTGCGGGCCGGGTGCCGCCGGCTGCAGGGTGGGCAGGGGGCTGTGTGCCCGGGCAGCCCGCGGGGCCGCGGTGCTGCTGACCAGGCTGGGCTGGCCGATGTCCCGGCCGGACAGCTGGCGGCGGCCCGGCCGCGTCCGGCCTCCCTCCTGGAACAGCGGGTTGGCGAGGCCCGAGGGAGTCCCGCCGGAGCTCCTGTGGGACACAGGGACCATGTGGGGCTGCTCCGGGCACCCCTCGAGCTCGGCGGGGCAGCGGAGACGGGAATTACCCTTTGTGGGAGCGCCGCGCCGCCCTGGCTCTGAGGAGCACCACGCCGCTGCCCAGCCCGATGCCGGCCAGGGCCAGCACGGCCAGCACGGCCGCCAGCACCACGCTGCCGCTCCCTGTGGGGACAAACCCGGGCGCTTGGGGACGGAGCTGCGCCTCCCCGCCGGGGCCAGCCCCTTCCCCAGGCTCCCCCTCCTCGGGACGTACCCGCGGCTATCCCCGAAATCTCCTGCTCGCAGTAGGGCGCTGCCCAGCCGGGGTCGCAGTGACACTCCCGCCTGTGGTTGCACACCTGGGAGGAGCGGGGAGAGGTCAGGGCGGTGGCCGAGCCGCCGGGGCCCCGCCGCAGCTCCGGGAGGGGCGATGGCATCGCCTACCCCGTGGTTGTTGCACTTGGCCGAGCAGTTCTTGTCGCCGTAGACCAGGAGGTTCTGGCAGCGCCCGGCGTAGCAGACCTGGGGACAAGCGGGGGGGGGGGCTCTGAGGCTGCCCCGGGACCGGCGCTCACCCTCCCCCGGCCCGGCCCGGCCCCGGCCCAGCTCTCACCATCTCCTCCCCGCACTTGGCTCCGGTGGGCACCAGCCGCAGCTCGGCCGCCTCGCCGGCGTCGCTGCCCGCGATCACCGCCTTGCACTTGAAGCGGCCGAAGAAGTAGCCGAAGGAGTAGTAGCCGCTGCCGAGGATGGGCTGGGCGCTGTCGCTCAGGCACAGCAGCGTGCCGCACTTGACATCCCTGCGGGACACGGGGCCGTGAGCGCCGGCGGGCGGCAGCTCGGCAGGGCTGGGACATCCCCCCCGAGCCCCCCGTCCTTACTTGGGGCTGCAGGGCTGCTTCCCGTACTCGGTGAGGCAGTGCAGGTGAACGTGCTGCTCGCTGTTGTGCTTGAAGCAGACGTCAGGAGCCACCTGCGCCTCTGCGGGACACATGGAAAGGGTCAGGCGGAGCTTTGGGATCGGCAGCGCCGCAGCTCGGGATGCGGGAAGGGACCGCAGCCGGGCGATGCGCTGGCCCGGGGGGCTCCGGGCGCATCCCGCAGCAGGAGGATGGGCAGGGAGGGGGCCCTACCTGCGCCCCAGAGCGCCCGGCACTGCTCGCCGTGCGAAGGGCAGGCCCCGTTGTAGCAGTAGCCATTGCCGTGCTGGCAGGAGATGCCGTTCTCCTGGAACACATCCTCCGGACACTCGGCGCTGAGGCCGCTGCAGTGCTCGGCAAGGTCGCAGTCGTTCTTGCTGGCCCGGCAGAGCGCTCCTGCAGCCTTCACCTGCACGGAGAACGGGGATGTCGGCACTGCCCGGATGCTCTCACTTCTCCAGGCACCACAGCGCGGCAAAACCCTGGTCTGGGAAACCTCTCCCGGCGCCCTATGGATCCAGACTCCGACACTCTGCTGCTGGCTGAGCTACTGCACAGCACGGAGACTCCTCCAGGGCTCGGACCGGCTCTTCCCCTACTTCAAAACCTGCCAGAGCTGCGTCCCTGCTGACGGCAGTACCTTGCAATCCTGGCAGCATTCCCCTCGGGCACACTCGGCTCCCTCTCTCAGCTGGCACGTGGTGGCATTGCAGCAGCGGTCCGAGCACTCCTGCAAGACAGGGATGGGATGAAACCCTCCTGGAAGCCCCCTGAAGGACCTTTCCCTTCCTTTCTGAGGGGACCAGGTGCCCACTGTGGTGTAGCTGCCATGGGCTGAACCACGGGCCAAAACCACAGCAACATCCCAGGTGGGACCATTCCTGCTGCCTCTTTATCCCCGTTACCAACAACAAACCAAAGGACCAGAAAGGATTTTTTCAGAAGAGGGAGCCTGAGCTGAGCCCCTTTGCATATCTCCAGGAAGGAGAAAACCTGAGGATTTCTGTGCTCCCTGGGTCAGGGGAACATTCCTTCAGGTCCCAGCACAGGGCTGGGATTTATCCCAGAGGCATTGCCTGTCTGTCTCAATTCCAGCCCCCATCCCCGTGCTGGTAGGGATGAGAAACAGCAGAGCACAGCTCTTGAAAGAGCAATGCCCTGATGTCCCCTCCTGGGTCACCTCTTTGGAGGACGTGGCAGGATGTCCATCTTTCCTAGGCTAAAATCACAGCCAGCCACATGAAGGGGGGCACACGTGAATATCCTCCACCAGTTGTTTTTTGGCAGAAGCACCAGGAGCACAAAGGGACATCTCAGGTCCCTGCTGCCCACCCTCCTCCCCAGCCCTTTGGGGAGCATTCCCACCTCTGGAGTGCCGCAGTCACACTGCTCTCCCCGCTCCACAAACTGGTTCCCACACACCGGCCCCCCGTACAGCTCGTCCGCCCGCGGCGCGTTCAGCAGGCAGCTGGTGCGAGGGTCCCCCAGGAACTGCCACATGTCCTGCTCGCTGCACCGGCTGAAGAGCTTGGGGTAAACCAGCCTGGAGGGGCACAAAACCCAGCGGGCATGAGCAGAGAGCCAGGGGGAGCCCACAGGCTCAGAAGCACCTGCAGTGGGCTGGGGTGGGGTGGAAAGTCTGCCCAGACCTGACCGTCTCACCGGCTTCACCCCATCAGGGCACCCCGTCCCAGGACACCTCTGTGTGTTTGGTGGCCAGGGATGTCCCCCTGGCTCCTTCACTCACCCAACGCTCCCTGCCATGACACACCCCCCGTCAGCTTTGGGGATGGGGCAGCGGCAGCCGGCGACGTCTTCGTCGTGAGACATGCCCAGGTTGTGCCCCATCTCGTGAGCCATGGTGGATGCGGCGCCGATGGGGTTCGTGCTGTGATCCTGTTGGGATGAGGAGCCCAGCGTGGGTTCAGTGCCCCTGTGGTTTCTCCACAGCTTCAGGGGCTCTGCAAGGTGTCTCCTCACGCTGCCGTGCTCAGGTAAGGGAAGACACAAGCTGGACACGGTCCCGTGGCCCCTCAAGACGCCCAGATTGGTCTCTCAGGGCTGTCAGTGAGCTTAGACAAAGTGTCTGCTCCAAAAATGATGTTTTGTGGTGGCTCTGGGAGGCCACAGGTCCCACAGCCAACCTCTCCTGCTCCTGGGGAGGAATGAGGAGCACAGCCAGTCCCAGCCACCGATAGCCTCCTAAAATCCCAGCTCCTGTGTCCATGGAGTTTCTCTGGGAGGCTTTCCAAGCGTACCCCAGGTACCCAGCTGGGTGTCCACAGCACTTCTCTGGGGGTCAGCCACTTAGGGGGCAGAGATACCAAATCCAGCCTTAAGGCTGCTGACGGGGAAAGGTGGGGACTGGTGGAGGAGGGAGTGGCTCTGGAAGACGCAGGGCAGGGAGGGCAGAGCACAGGACCCACCTGGTTGACGCCGCCCGAGTCTCTGGTGCACATCACCAGCTTCTTGGCCAGCCCCACGGTGTTGCCGTGGAAATCGACGCCCCTGTGGGATTGAGATGCCACAATGGCCACCCTGGGTGGCGGCAGGGCCGGGAGGGTGGCGAGGTGGCCCTGTCCTTACGTGATCAGCTGGGCGTTGTCGTGGGGCTTCTTCCGCAGCAGCTCCGACTCCCGCCAGTGCAGGAAGTTGTCCAGTGTCACCTCGGGGTTGGGGCTGACTGTGATTTTGTCCCTGTGGTTCCACACCTCCAGGCCAATCAAGGCCACCCGCAGGCGAAGGGGCTGGTAGAGCTGGGGTGGGACATAGAGAGAGCCTGGATTTGGGCTGTGGCAGCAGAGGGGAGGTCCCACCTGTCCTGGGGAACTCCTCACTGGCAATGTCAGCTCTGTCACCCTCAATAAATAACACAAGCTGGGGTGACAGGATTTCCCCCCAAACCTCTGGGCTCCCTCTTGGCTGGTGCAGGCTGGGCTGCTGCTCCCACGCTGCTAACCAACAACTGAGGCTGAAGCAAAGCCATCAGGAAACCCACCATGGTCTGATGCATCCCTCCCTTTCTTAGCAGCCACTCCAGCCTGAGAGTGGCCACGGGATGTGCTCCCAGGAGTTACAGGACAAAAAATTCCCTTCCCTGATGGACAGAGCTGAGACACTTGTCATGTCCACGCTGCACACGGGGTTGGCCAAGGGATGCTGTCACCCTGCAGCCTGAGATTGGCTCCAGCTCCTCCACTCCACAAACTCTGTGCCACCTTCTCTGTGCCCACTGGAGCTGGGTCCAGAGGCCCGGGCTCACCTTGTCCACGTGGTTCACGATTTCCTTCATGCGGTTCTGCACGGTGCGGAGATCCTTGTGCTTCCTGAACTATGGGAAGGACACAGAGACATTTCCAGGGTGGCTTTGAGCTCCTCACTTGCAGGGAGTGACAGCAAGCCCACAGGCACCGGTTCTCCCCACTTTACCTCCTGGTTGTCCGCCACCAGGACCAGCTCCACGTACCGGGGACCCTTTTGTATCGGACCCGACCTCTGAAAGGGAAGAGCAAAGAGGGTTCGGCTTGCAGCTTGCCAAGCCAGGCAGCCGACCCTCCCATGGGATGTGTGGGGTCCTGGATGACCTCCCAAGGCTAGCAGGTCTCCTAGCTCGGCTCTGGGATGTGGTTTCGCTGGGTTTCAGACAGGACCCAAGCCTGCTGCTGGGATAACGCAGCAGAGCCCGTGGGGTGGGAGGATGCTCCTGCTAACGGCGCAGGATCCGAGGGGCTGTTCCCACCAGAAGCTGCCTGTGCTGGGGCACCCCACCAACAACTCGTGGGGCATCGCCAGGAGGCACAGAACGCCCCCATCCTCCCCGGGGCTTCTCGGGAGCCCGGCTCAGGAAGGAGCAGCAACGCAATCCCTACCCAGCGGTAGAGCTTCATGGCCGCGGGGATTTTGGGCTCGCGGTCGTACTCCAGGGTGGTGCCGGGCTCCCGGCAGGTGCCGCGTTTCCCCCGCAGGTGAGCTGCTCGGTACACGGCGTGCCGGCCGGCCACCGCCCCCTCCAGCGGCTCCAGCAGGAAGGTGGTCTCATTCACCCGGAAAAACCCACTGGAGAGAGAGAGAGAGAGAGAGAGGGGTCAGGCATCAGACCCTACACACACCCCTGTGATGTGTGCCCCATCCCTGGAAGTGTTCAAGGCCAGGTTGGAGCACCCCGGTCTAGTGGAAGGTGGCCCTGCCCGTGGCATGGGGTGGGATTTAATGGGCTTTAAAGTCCCTTCCATCCCAAACCATTCCGGGATTCTGAGATTCTGTATGAATACAGCTGCCAAACTAGCTGCTGGGCTGGGAGGGGACAAGCTTTGGCACGGCACCACAGCACGGGGAGGATCCGGTGCTTCAGGCAGCAGGAATGTGCCAGGATTCAACAGCTGGTCCATTCAGGATGGATCCAGAGAGGGCACTCCTGTCACCCCATTGCCATGAGTCAGCCCCCCAAAAGCGCCCTGCGCTTTTCCTGCCGGGCACCCAGCCGGGGTCAGCACCTCCAGCAGGAAGAGGGATGTCATCTTCCCTTCCTGCTGGGGAAAGCTGAGCTCTCACTCCGCCAGCACGGCTCACCGGGGCTCGGTCACACCGGCTCACCGGGGCTCGGTCACTCCGGCTCACCGGGGCTCGGTCACTCCGGGTCACCGGGGCTCGGTCACACCAGGTCACCAGGGCTTGGTCACACCAGGTCACCGGGGCTCGGTCACACCAGGTCACCAGGGCTTGGTCACACCAGGTCACCGGGGCTCGGTCACACCAGGTCACCAGGGCTCGGTCACACCGGCTCACCGGGGCTCGGTCACTCCGGGTCACCGGGGCTCGGTCACACCGGGTCACCGGGGCTCGGTCACTCCAGGTCACCAGGGCTCGGTCACTCCGGGTCACCGGGGCTCGGTCACTCCGGCTCACCGGGACACGTGCCGAGGCTGGCTGCTGTCCCCCAGCCAGGGGCAGGGCTCCAGCTCACCGGGCCCTACCTGAGCCCGCTGCAGGTGCTGATGCTCGCTGCCGAGTCGGGGTGTCCCCGCACGCGGCCCTGGTAGAAGCAGTGATCCTGCCGAGAGAGAGGGCAGAGGTGTGGGGGCTGCACCCCAAGCGTGGTGGGGCCCCACAGGGGTGGGAAAGCTGCTCCCCAAGGAGCCAGTCCCTACCTGGGTGTCCGGCTTCTCCGTGATCTCCGTGCCATTGGCCGAGTAGTGAGTCTCGGTGTAGTGCTGCCCCAGCAGGGCCCTGCGGGGTGGGGAAGGGGTGTCAGCACCACCCTGCTTTGGGGGACAGCATGTGGGGACTGTGACCCCTCAGGTGGGCTTGGCAAGGAGGGAATAAAGTGCTCTGGGCTGAGGGTTTGGTCATCGGTGTGGTGACACCAGGCCTTGGAGAAGGGACGCAAGGGTGGGATGCAAACCCCACCTCGGGCCACCCCTCCCGCACTCACCTGTTCTTCTCCAGCCACAGGAGATATTCCCTGCCTTCGGCATGGATGCCGTAGAGGACGTGGCCTGGGTAGGTGCTCTGCAGAGAAAAGAGGGGTGCCATCAGAGACCTGCTGCCAGCAGGAGCCAGAGCTGCACCAGAAAGGGGACAGGGTCTGTGTGTGCCCTGCTGAGAGCCTGGCCGCTCACCCTGGGGGCAGCCAGCAAAGACACAGGAAATCAGAAGAGAAGGAAGAAAGCATGTGGGCAATAACACAAATCCCCGGCACATCCTGAGATGAAGAACAGGTCACCAGCGAGGAGACAGAGTCAGCAAAGTCTGGTTTCCCGTGTCTGACACATGGCTGCAGATGGCCGTGCCAGGGACTGAGGTTTCCTACTCATCAGTCACAGAGCTCCTTTTTTGGGGCCTGAGTTCAGCACTTACTCATCAGCTGAACCACAAAGATCCCTATGGCTCTTATCAGCAGAGACTGATCTGACACGCCACATCACGTTTGGGGAACAGCCTTCCCCTGGCTCTCCTCGGCCTCCCAGAGCACATTTTGGTGTCACTGTGTCCCAGGTGCCCTTGGCCGGTGGGAGGGAGCCAGGGTGGCTGTGGCTCAACCAGCTGAGCCCTCAGGATGGAGATGTTCCTACAGGAAAAGTGTTTCCCTCTGGGCTATCTTGTGATCTCCACCTCCAGAGGCCTCATCCCACTGGGATCACTGGGAGAGACTGGTGGTCCCTTGTCAGGCTGTGCCCTTGCCACGAGGGATCTGAGATGCCTCCTGAGGGCACATCCTCAGCCCTTGCAGAATCCAGGTGTGGAGGGAGCTGAGCCAAAGGCAGAGCAAACCTTTCCCACGGGGCCAGCATTCCTCAGGGATGAGGTGTGCTGCCTCTCCCTGGGGAGGATGACAGCACCGGCTGTCACACCACGGCTCAGCATTCCCAAGGGGATGAGCTGCACCCTGGAAGGAGCCAGGCTGAGCGGAAAGCCCTGCTGATGCTGTGCCAGCGGGGCCAGGTGAGAGGGTTTGCCTGTCACTCAGCTGCCCCGATTCTCCCCGCTTTGCAATTCCAGGCCGGCGTGCCAGGGCCCTCGCGGGTCCCTGGAAAATTCTTCTCTTATGAACAGCGTCTCCCGCCTGTCCTGACCCCTGTTCGCCAACAAAGCCATCCTTTGTTATTGTTGGCAAGGCCAAGGCCAGAAGAGGTCTTAAGGAATGGCAGGAAAGCACTTGGAAGGGGGTGCTGGGTCAGGGAGCGTCTCTTGGAGACGACCGCAGGGCAAGTTTAAAATAAGAAGTCCTGATAAAGCTTCTCTGAATCACCCCTTTCCTCATTAGCATGGGCTGTGCAAGGGCTCCAGATGGGAAGGCTTTGGGAGCAGCTCTGCGAGCCCCGTGGCCGTGCTGAGCCAGCACAGCCACAGCCAGAGCGCAGGGACAGGAGGGATTTCTTCCAGCTGGTCTCAGTAAGAGACCCAGAGAGCTTGCAGAGGATGGGCACGGGATGTCCCGTCCCGTGTTCTTCCCTGGGTGTTTCTTCCCTGGGTGGGAAGAGGCGAAAGGCCCTGCAGTGGGGACGGGGCTCACTTTTCCAGACCCCTTTCCACGAAGAACCCAGGTGTGCCACTCTCCCTGCTGTGCTGGTGGCAAGGCTGGCACCCAGGAGATCCTGTGCTGCAGGACCCAGGGCTCCACCCCGCCTGCAGGGATGAACTTCTGGATTTAAGCAAAGCCAGGGTCTGCTTCAAGCCTCTCCTGGTGGGTGGCCCTGCTGGACCAATCCCAGGTGTCCCAGAACCAGCTCCTGCTGGCCCATGGAGGAGCCAGCATGGAGACCACCCATGTCTCTCTCAGAGGGGCTTGGTGGTGGTCAAACCTTGCTGAGAGCTTCTTCCCCACCCCGATGACCAGGAGAGCAAACCTAACCTCTCTCCAAGAGGAAATGAAAAGGGCTTGGAAAGCGGGAGACTCCCCACCCTCAGCAAGGCAGGTTTGGGATGTCCAAGGACCACGCAAGCCAAGACCAAATCCCCATCAGACAGCCCCCGTGGCAGCCCCGAGGCGCACAGCTCGTGGCAGATGTCTTCTCCAGAGGGATCCCGAGGTGGGTGAGCTCCCCGTTCCGGGGGGATCGGTGCCGAGTCGCCCGGCGCACACCCGGCACAGATGGCGTCTCTAAATAGCCTGGGGAATGTTTGTCTCGTGGACAAGTTTAGGTTTCTAGAGCAGGGAAAACAGATGCTTTCGGGGAGTGTTTTTGAAGCTAGCTTATCAGGAAGGGTTTGAATCACAGAGGAACGTGCTGTATGGCACTAGGGAATGCGTGTCCCCGCTCCCTCCATCCCTCCAGGCGCTAAAATCGGCGCTTTTTGGGTCTAGAAAAGGAGTAAAAAAAAAAAAAAAAAAAAAAAAAGGCTGAATTTCACTGTAAGGCAATGAGGAAAGTGTCTTTGAGGTCAAGGCATCCTACAGACGTCGACATCAAGCACTCCAAACTCCTGACTCAAACCCCATTCCTTCCCCCAAATTGCCAGGTTTCCCAAGAAAAACAGCACAAAAAAAAAAGGGCTTGCTTTCATGTGGATTTCTGCAACTTTCTGATTCTTATTTCTCTGTCCCAAAGGACAAAAAAAGCCCCAACTTCAGCAAACACAGCAAGAAAAGTGCTTACAGCTCCACGAGGCTTCTCAAACCCCTCCTTAAAGAAAGACCAGATGTCACAAGATCACGGCACGGCTGCAAGAGGTGGCACCGCTGGGTCACGTCTCCAAAGAAAGCACTGGAGAAAGCAGCCCCTCTCTCCAGGAGTGCACCCTGCTGTCTGCAGGTCCTAATTAGTCCCAAAACAGCCCAGAAAAGCTGATCTGACTCAACTGCTTCAGCATCTCCATGCTCTGGGGTGGAAGCAAGGCAAGGAAATGGGCTGCTCGTCGTTCTCTTGGTGCGGGGCTGAGGGGGTCTGGCCAAATGCTTGGTCAAGGGGTCCAGCTCTGAGCCTGGTGGTGGGACAAGATCCCTGCTGTCTGCAAGCCCCCGGCTGTGCCGAGCTGTGACTCACCGGAGGCGCAGAGAGGTCCCTCTTCCCCCGGGGCAGCGGCAGCTCCCGCGGCAGCACCGTCTCGTACCTCTCGACGTGCGGGAGCTTCTCCTCCAGCCCGGCACCGGAGCCTGGGAAAAGCCGAAGGGCTTTGAGACAAATGCCGGGGTACAACCGAGTCATAGAATATCCAGAGTTGGGAGGGTCCCACAGGGATCACTGATCCAGCTCTCGGGCCCCCACAGACCCCCCAACAATCGCAGCCTGTGCATCCCTGGCTGCGCTGTCCGAACGCTCCTGGAGCTCCGGCAGCCTCGGACCCCATTCCCTGGGGAGCCTGGGCAGTGCCCAGAACCTTCTGGGGGAAGAGCCTTTCCCTGACACCCACCCCAAACCCTCCCCTCCCCGTCCGACACAGCTTCACGCCGCTCCCTCGGGTCTGAAGCCAGGAGGCAACGAGAGCATCCAGCGTGAGGAGACAGGGGCTGAGCCCGAGGAGCAAGTCCTGAAATACCCGCTGGGAACGCAACTCCCTGGCGGGCTCCGGGGAGCTGCAGCCCCCCCAGCCCGGCGCCCACAGAGCGCTCAGCATCACAGCGAGTCCCTCTGGGGCTGGAAACCCGCGCCGAGCCCCTGGTGCAGCAACACAGAGAGGTTTTCCAGCTCCCCATGGTGATGCCACCGCGTGTGACTCGGCGTCTGGCGGCTGTGGGGGCTGTTTGGGAGAGCGGCTGGTGCCTGGGTGGCTCAGCCCCCTCCCAGCCTTCCTTGGATGTCGGAACGGAGAATTTCTGCCATAAACCCTTTGCTTTTCCCGGGAGCCCCAAACGCCGGGCTCGGACGGGGCTGGGTGCTGGGGCTGGGGGTGCCCAGGGGCCACTGCCGGGAGCCAGATGAGTCACGGGCGGCTGAGTGATGGGGGACCCCCGGCTCGCCGCGGGCCACCGCTTGCGACCCTCCTCTCGCCTTGCCGGGGTGCCCGGGAGCAGCCCCGAGGGAGCGAGCCTGGCCCCGGGCGTCCCCTCTCCATCATCCTCCCCCGCGGGTGGCGAGAACAGAGGCGCTCCCCGGGACTTTCCCGCGGAGGGAGGAATCATCCCCATCCCGCGGTGCCTGCATCCCGGCGCCTCCATCCCTGCCCCACGTCGGGGTCCTGCCGCACGCCCCCCAAACTCCCCGCCACCCCCCCCAGGACCCCCGGGACCCCTCGCTCACCGCGGGCCGGCAGCAGCAGCAGCGGCAGGAGCGGCAGGAGCGGCGGCAGGAGCGGCGGGGCCATGGCTCGGAGGTCCCGCCGTGCCCCCGCTCGCCGCGCCGCCGGCAGCCCCCGCCCGCCGTGACTCACCCACAGCCGCGGACGGGACGGGGCGGGGCGCGCCGGGACGGGCCGCCCACGGCGGGGGGACGGCGGCAGCACGGGGGGCACCGGGTACCGGGGGGGGATGTGGGGCGCTGGGGAGTGTCCCCCGGACAGTGGGGTGGGGGCCCTGCGGTGCTGGGGACCGGCCAGGGGACATCACGAGAGTCCACGGGGCACCGGGGGCAGTCGGTGGCGCATCCAGGAGGCTCCGCGGCCACCGGGTGGTGTCCGTAGGGAGATGGGGGCTGTCCCCGGAGGGAGGGTGTGTGGGGTGTCGTGGAGCTCTGTGGGGCGCTGGGGACTGTCCCCCGGGCAATTGAGAAGGGCACACGTGGGCACCTGGAGGGTCCGCGGGGTACTGGGCAGGGGGCACTGGGGGAGGACACACAGGGCACACGCAGGGAAGGTCGGCAGGACACCAGTGGGTGGGACACTGGGGACATCGTGGGGCATCGCGGCTGGCTGTGAGGCTCTGGGGCACGGGGGGACTGGATCAGTGGAGGATGCCCACAGGACATTGGGGTGGGGGGACGCTCCAAGTGGCATCGGGGACTGTGTGTATGGCCTTGGGGGGTGTCCAAGGGGCACGGAGGTGGGTCCCCGGCCCCGTGGGACATGTCCTGCGGCCCTGCAGGGGGAATCAGGGCGCTGGGGTGGCTGCACTGTCACGGGAGGCTCTGCAGCTGGGATGTCAGGGCAGATAAGCCGGGCACGTTCGTATTTCTGGGTGTTTCAGGCCAGGCCGACCAGGAAATGGACACGGGCACGTGGGTGTGAACAGGATTAGGGATTAGTCATCAGCGGGCGCTTACAAGTTTGCTGTTGATTTAAAAAACGAACTCCCCGTGACTCCTAGTGGGACTCAATGCTTGCTGGTGGTCCCCACCCTCTCCCGGGGTCTCTTTCCCTCTGCCAAGCTGGAGGACCAGCTGTAGGCAATGGAGCACACAAATCCTGGCTCTTCCCTCCAGAGAGCTCCGGGATGTCCCTGCCGAGGAGTGAGGAAGGACAGGAGCACTCAGTGCTGTGTCCACAGCGCTCACACAAGTCCCCAGGTCCCCACTCCTGGCCCCGAGGCCTCTGTCCCTGGCATGTGCCTCGGTTATCCCTTGTCCCTGGGACACATTTCTCTTCCTCCCTCTATGCACTTGCTCTCAAACTGCCTCAGGCAAAGTTTGGATTCCCTGGAACTCCTCTGCTGGGGACTTGGGGTTGGAAAGGAACTTAAAGCTCATCCCGCTCCAACCCCCTTCCACTATCCCAGGCCGCTCCAAGCCCTGTCCAGCCTGGCCTTGGACACTTCCAGGGATGGAGCATCCAAAATAATTTGCACCCCAAGTTCTGTTAACACAGACAAAATAACCCTGATTTTTTTGTTTGTTTGTTTTTGTTGTTATTTAATTTATTTTACAACACACAAACACATCATTGTACAACAGAGTAAAATAAAAAAACGAACAAAACGCCAACAAAACCCCAAAACATTACAAACATCTCAGGAGAGTGAACATTCCCCTGAGTCTCTGGGCCACCCTGCAGGCTTTGTTTGCAGGTTGTGGGGTGGGTGTGGAGGGCTGAGCTGCCTTGGATGGGGGTCAGGGTCACTGGGCAGGCACGGCCAGGCAGGGCAGCAGCGGCGGGGCCTTCTGGCTGCGCTCGGCTGACATGTGCTCCAGGCGCTCCGTGTAGAACCCGTTGAAGTCCAACCTGAGGGATAAAACACAGAGAGGCGTGAGCAGGAAACTCCCCCAGGACACCCACAGCGAGTTCTGGCCCCTCATGGGATGTCTGTGCTGTGCCACAGGTGTTGCTGACACCTTTTCCGTGCCCATTCCTGGACAGCAGGCCTTTTGCAGGGAAATGTGTCAGGAGCGCGTCCCAAAGACAACAGGAAGGACCAAATGCTCACAGCTCTTCTCCAGACCACACAGAGGTGTCTTGTGTGGACAAGGGTTCCTCAGTGTCTGCACCTTCCCAGCACTCTTGAAACCTCAGAGTTCACCAGCACTGAGCTCTGGTACAAACCAAATCCACACAGCACCACAAAATGCTGAGGTCTCCGTCCCCACCATCTCCTGGGGTCTCCATCCCCACCATCTCCTGGGGCCTCCATCCCCACCATCTCCTGGGGTCTCCATCCCCACCATCTCCTGGCTAACACCAGAATGTTTCCCACAGATCCACAGTTCACCAGCATGAGCAACCGGTCAGGAGATGCTCAGCCACAACCACAAGTGACACGTGGAAAAGCCTCTCCAAAGCACTCCACACCAGGGATACCACAATCCCACCTCCCTGATAATCCAGAGTAATGCCCCCCAGCCCCAAGCCTGCTGCAACCTCCCCGTGGCAGATCCCAAAGCACCCGCAGCCTGCGCACTCGTGTGCCCCGGATCGCTGAGCAGTCAGTGCAAACCCATGAATCACACAAAAGTTACTCTCTCCCTTTCTCAAATTAGGCTGCTCCAGTACCAACTGAATGGGCACAATATTTGAGTTTCATGTTGCTTAACAACCTCACACAAATGGCAACAAATTGTTCCTTGACATTTTTTGGTGCCTGGAGAAAACAGAGCCTCGACAGATGGAATTTGTCTGTTGCTCTCTCCTGGCTGAGAAGCTTTACATTGCTTTCATCCTCGAGGAGTTGTGACAGGGAAACCTGACACTGAGGTGAGAGCACTGACCAAGTTTTGATTCAAACACAAGGCCAGGACTCGTTGCTTTGAGGACCTGCTCCATTTCTAAAGTTGCTTCATTCCCAGCTCAGTGACCTGCAGGTTTTGCTTGGCTTCTTTTTTGGCCGTTTTTAGTTTTAAGTGATCCCCCATAACCATTTCTTCAGAATTCATGTGGTGCTTCCTCAGCACGTGCTTACACAGCAGTTTCTTGCTTTGTGGCTGGATTCAGTGAGGTTTGCACCACATCCTGGTGACCTACTCTGAGCTCAGTTTCCTCCAAACTGGTAAAGGAAGGATGCCTGATAACCACACTGATCTATCAGATTTCTTAGAATGTGACTGAAGAGTTCCTGCAGTTGCCAGCCCTCTGTCAGCACTCCCAAGGAAATGGCTGGAGCTGTGTCAGGAGAGGTTTAGGCTGGATACCAGGGGAAGGTGCTTCCCCCAGAGGGTGCTGGCACTGCCCAGGCTCCCCAGGGAATGGGCACAGCCTCGAGGCTGCCAGAGCTCCAGCAGCATTTGAACAATGCTCTCAGGGATGCACAGGCTGGGATTGCTGGGGTGTCTGGGCAGGGACTGGATGATCCTTGTGGGTCCCTTCCATCTCAGGGTATTTTCTGATTCTACGACACACCTGAGGAGGACTTGGGCACACCAGAGATCTGTCACCTGTGAGCTCTGTAGGAAACCCTCTTCATCTCCATCTCCTATTGTCTGATGCCACAAATAAAATGCCTCAGTTACTCAGTACTACAAAATGAAAAAGTGTTAACCAGGATCAAAGAAATGATGAGCAAGTACCAGAACTGTGAATTTTGTTATCTATCTGACATGTTGATGATCCCTGTTGGAAAGCAGCCCCATAGAAAGGTTATAAATTAGAAGAGAAGAGTGGTATGTCTTATAAACTCTTCCTTATAAACTCTCTCAGTCAGATATGTTATTTCAGATGGCAACTGTCTCCACTCTGCTTCTCGGGTTCCTGTTGCCATAGAGCCCAGGCCTCGAGCCAACAATCCCTCCAACCTGAATGGGAGCTAAATGTCACCTCTGGGCATTCACTGTGGGGCTCCCACCCTTCAAACCACCCCTGAGCTGCCTGTGGGGTTGGAAAGGCAGGTCCCATGGGCTGTTAACATCCAGTATTTCTGCTAAGGAAATGGGGCAGGGCAGCAGGGCCAATGACTTGGTGAAGACTCAAGCAGTCCCAGAGAGTCCAGACAACTGGGGGGGTAAGTGATGATGAGAACAGTCCTGGTGGCACAAGGACTGGGGCACGGTAATAAGGCAGGGCAAAGCACCCAGGCTCTCCTCTGAGCCTCTGGATACAGCTGAGGTCACTGTCCACAGCACAAACCACGGAGAGAAGCACTGCATCATCTGTATCACCACACTTCTCCTTTCCCCTGAAGCAGGAAGTGCTGGTTGCAAAAGCCAACCTCTCTGTATTTGGAAGAACCAGCTGCAGAGGTTTCACAGCTCAGGAGTCACTTGCTGGCCCCAGCTGACTCCCCATGTGGGCTGTGACACTGGTGGAGCAGTTCCTGGCTGTGGCACCCTGGGCAGGACACACAGCCAGGCTGTGGGGTGCAGCACCAGCTTGTCCCCCTGTCCTGGCACGTGTGTGACATTGACACCACGACAAGAACAGGTAATTTGGTTTTCAGCACTGTGCTGGCCATGTCCTGTGTGGCCTGGGATCATGGAGTGAGCTGCCATTGAGATCTCCTGGATGAAGCACCATGAGCAAGCCCCTCTGTTAGAACTTGTACTGGAGGGGGTAAAAATGTTAAAAAAAGGATAAAGCAGGAAGCAGAGCTGGAGCACTGAGGAGCAGTAAATGCTCCTGCCTGGGTGTCTGAACTGCTTGTGGTCCCAATCCCTGGATCTAAGCTGAGTCTGGATGTTCCTGTGACACCCAGGAGTGATAGCAGCCAGGGAAGAGTTTAATCCTTCCAGCCTTTTCCTACAGATGGATCTTGCCTGTAACCTACAACAGCCTGATGATGATGAACTGGCATGTCCAGGCAGATGAAGGGTGACATAAAATGTTGAGAAGCCACACCAGCCTTTCCCAAAAGGTCCAAGAGAGACTTGGCTGCCCTGGTTAGTCCTGAAAGGAACAACAACCAATTGTACAGCTGGGGCCTGCACTCACAGCCACAAGAAGTTGTTTGGAGAAATTTCAAGATGAGAAGATGATCTCTGACTCTAGTATCTTCAGAAATGGAGCAAACCAGAGTTCC